GATTATATTACCTTTAATTTAATACTAATTCTCTAAAAAATCATTAAATTGAAATAATAATTATTGATTATATATAAATGATAAATATGAAAAAAAATTAAAAAAAAATTATTAAATTTTGCCTAAATTAACAATAAATTAATTTGAATAAACTGATTATAATTACCATTAATTTTTGAATAAAGATTCTCCTAGAGAGAAAAGATCAAGATCTAAAATTGAAATAATAAATATATTGATTATATAATAAATGAATAAATTAATGAAAAAAAAATGTATTACTACTTCTTGCCTTTAATTTAATACTAATTCTCTAAAAAATCATTAAATTGAAATAATAATTATTGATTATATATAAATGATAAATATGAAAAAAAAAATTATTACTTCTTGAAATTATAATTATAATAAATATTTTTAAATAAATTATTTTTTTCAAATATAACAAACGCTGTGAAATGGAAGTTGTAGATAGATAAATGTACAGATTTAACGGAAACAAATGCGCCTTTGAATTTGTACGGAAAAATGCTCATACCAAAAAGAGTGAAAAAAAAAAAAAAGAACATATCATTAGCAACAAAAATCATCTGCACTGCATGACGTTAAAGTACTACAAGTTGTTGCAATTTACAGAAAATAAAATTCATTAACGCATCAATGCATGGACATATATATATATATATATATATTTAGCAGTAAAGCGGTATCACTTGTTAATTTATCTTTTTAGTTTAATCGACGTGTTTGGTGTAAACATGGTCTGGACACGTGGCTCAGAAACCGCTGATGAGAATTACTACTATGTTGTCCAACAGACCGTGGACTGTTAATCCAAAAATAATAAGATTTGATAAAGAAAAAGACGGGAGTAAATGTTAATTGCATTAAGTTCATGCACATCCAAAAATATGTCTATTTCTATAGTATCCGCTAAGGATGATAATGGATTGGATATCACATTATTCTTCTCCGTCTGTGAAGCAATATATTAGCTTTTCCATCATTCTTTTTACTATAGGGCCGGACGGATCGGAGTGTAGATCGGGTTAGTAAATCCATTTTAAGAATAGAATCTGAATTTCATTTTTTCAGATTTTTATATACATATATTTATTGTATTTGTGATAAATATTATTAATTATATATTGATTTCAATAAAATATATATAAATAAATATGGTAAAATAGTGAAAATCAATAAAATGAAAATAAAGTTATATAATTGAATATGTTTAATAACCTAAATGAAAATAAAACAAGTTCATAGTTCACTTCAACATAATAAATAAAAGAAAAAAGTTAAAAAATAAAAAATAATTGTTCGAGCACATCAATGGTAAACCAAATAGCAAAATAAGAAAATAAATATTGCAAGAACGACCAAATAAATTGAAAAGTAAAAATTAAAAGAAATAGAAAACATATATTTGACAGAGCCATTACTTAATTTGTTATTAACCATTCATATACCAAAATCGATAAAAATTAAAAATTGAAATACCAAATATAACATTATTCCTTTTTTTTTTTAATAAAGACATTGTTGTTTATGAAAAATAATTTATCTGAAAAATATTTTCCTATGTTTGGGATATTCAAGAAAATTAGCTAATGAAAAATATTTTTTTTGTCAAAGAAAACTAAGTTATTTTTAAGAAAAAATGACTTTCTATTTTTAAAAGGAGAAATTATATTTTGGACTTATAACCTTATAATACATATTTAATAATTCATCAATCATTGATAGCCATCGCCATTTATCATCGCCTAGGATGGAATTGGAATGGATACTCGCGAATTTTAAGTAACCCGTATTTATATCCATCTGAAATCCGTTTAAATATTCATTTAGGTACATGTATTCGAATTAGTTTAAAGTTTTATTATCTGCACCCATCCAAAATTTAAAAAGTACTATTATATGGGTAGGGTATTCATAAATTTTAAACAATATATTCAAACTTATTTAAAATATAATTTTTATTAATAATGGATAGGATACCCATGGGTACCCAATGTCAAACTCGTTTAATATAGAGAGTAATGGATAACGGATACCTAAAGACATATACTCATATCCTACTTGTATCTATTACAGGTAGTAATTTTACTACTCATATTCATTCCAAACTTATTTATAAGTAACCACATCCTTTTTAAACAGATCGAAGCTAGACAGATACCCTAAAATTCCCACAGTGTTTCTATCCCTAATCATCGGGGAGTATCAACCACACCCACCAGTTACCATCCACCATTGATCATACCACTAGTCATTAGCGACTATCATAATTTATCATTGTTTATATATTTTTTCATATTTAACAATAAATTTTTAAAAGAACAAATTTCCACAATTGCAGATATTTTTATAGTTTTATAAATTGAAATTTTAAACATTTTATAACTAATTGTTAATATTACAATTAAATATTTAAAAAAGGTTACATTTTTCTTAAAAAATATTAAAAAAAAAAGTTATTTTCTAGAAACAAATACAAATTAAGGTATCTGAGGACAAATAATTTGCATTGCATTTGATAGAGTAGAAAAGAAGAACAAAAAAACAAAAGTGTATCATATAGCATGTCTTACGGTGTAATATGCTTTGAAAAAGAAAACATTCGTTTTTTCTCAAAAAAAATTATTCCTTGCCTAGTTCAATTTCCTATTAATGAATTTCAATTACTATTTTCATCGTCTTCACTTCTTTATTTTCCATAGTGAACAATGAAATGGAAAATTGACATTCGAACGATGCAAGTTGTCGCTATAAAATTCGAACTAACACGGTTTGGTTTATTTGGGTCCTGTCCTCCTCCTATTCCTAGGAGAGAGACACGTTGATCACCTAACCAAACCCTACCAAATTGTGTTTCTTTCAAGTTTCAACCTTATAGTCAAATTTCCAACATGTAAGGTTGATATAAAACCAAGTGTAATTTTCACCTAAAAATGAGTATTTCTATTTCACTGCAAAAAGTGTGAAAAACGAATCATAAAAAGTACCAAAAGCCATGTTTGACATGGCACACACCATCTTCTCTTTTTTCTTTTTCTAATAATTTTTTGACTGATTCTTTTCTAACATTCAATTGACACGTGTCAGTCCTAGTTGCTTTTCTACTGATTCCTATGAGACTCTGACCCAAAAATCAATCCGAGGTTAAAATTAGCAAAACAAAGAAATTAATCATAACACTTGTGACATTTTAAAATGTCATTTACTTTAAAAAAATTATTAAATTTATTTAAATTATAATAAATTATTAAATAAATTGATCATACTATTTTTAATTTAATAATAATTTTTAAAAAAATTATTAAATTGGAAAAATAATTATTAATTATATACAAGAGGTAAATATAGAAAATAATATTTATTACTACTAAAAACTTCAAACGTGATAAATATTTTAAAACAAACTATTTTCTTAAACGTAACAAATATTATCAAATGAAGATAGGACTCAATACTAAGTTAATAACGCGATTTTTTTTTCTCTTTTCATAAAAAAAATGAGAGATCCGTTCGGCTAAACTATATTCTAATTAATGTTTTTTTTTTAGAAATTACTGTAATATCTTTAACATTTATTTAAACTCATTATCGACTTATTTTATTTAGAAAAGCAGCAGTGTACCCATAATCAAACACACTTTTTAGATAAAATGTATTTACCTTTTATTTGAAAAGTATTGATTTTTTGGATGGAATGATCCAAGTTTAAGTAAATGTTAAAAACGTTACAGTAATTTAGACAAAAGTATTAATTATAATATAATTTAAGAATTTACATGTATTTTACTCTAGAAATAATAATTCAAAATTCACGGTAATAGTAGAGCTGACTAATTATATAAACTTTCATTTCAAATCTTTCAATCTGAAATCAAACTTTATTTGAATTTGACTGGTTTTAAATATAATAGGTTTCTATTTCATTAAATTTCAAAACTTTGTTTTTGTTTTCTATGAGCGAATTTTTCCATTTATAATTGATTCCAAAAATTAAAATTGAAATTGATTTAAAATCATTTAATTTTATGTCGAGTTCACGTCTAAAGATCTATTTTGTTCAACGATTCATACCAACTGATATTTAATAGCAACTATTGATAGTTAGTGGCTGATAGCCGATAATGGTGAACTGATCATTGTCCGTGTTTAGTAAAATTTTAGCAACAATTATTGTTAAAATATAAAATTGTCATTAAAAGAATGATTATTTTTATATATTATGACGTATTATATATATAATTAAAAGAATTGTATTATTTTTATATATTATGACGTATTATATATATATATATATATATTAAATATTTATTTTTTAATTAACGCATTACATAAATAAAAATATTAATTAAATATTTAAAAATAAGATTTAATATTTTATTTTTTAATTTTAACGCATTACATAAATAAAAAATATTAATTAAATATTTTAAAATAATATTTAAGAAAAAATAATTTTCATTAGCAATTTGAGGTTAATAAAGTCTAAAATAATATAAATACGAATTTTCAAAATGCAATTGATGAAATTAATAGTTGACTAAGACTTTCCTTTTTTTCGAGTATTGTTAACATGAACTCAAATATATTATGGGATCGTATATATGCTTATCAATGGGCTATGCTTTCTCTGCATGGCTAATCAAGGCATAACGGCTGATTAAAAGTTTGCCAAACACTTGGGATGTAAATATTGGGTATGAATCAGCTGCACGTCCATACTTAGCAACAATTTAGATTCATAATTAAAGAGTAAAACGGCTTGATCCGACGGTTGAGATTGTATCAGCGTGATACGAATAACCACGTAATATTAATTTCTGAATGTCATGGATTGGATTACTCATTTGCTGCCAACAAACCCCAAAAATTAAATTAATAAAATAGAAGTTAATTACAATTCACGCTCTGTGGAACTGCGTGTTTCATCACGTACCAATTGAAACGAAGGACAGTGCTTCACGTACTTTTCCTGCTCAGCAGAACCAACCCTGCTTTCAAACTGAATCAGACTGCCCAAACGTTTGTTTTTTTTTTTTTGCGCGTGAGCTTCCCTCCTCGTCGTCGTCTCAATTGTAGTTGTTCTAAAACGTGAACAACTCGTACAAGCCTCCTCTTCTCTCTCTCTCTAACAAACTAACAACGAAACGAATAGAGGTTTTTCTCTCTTTCTCTCTCTTCTCGGATTTGTGTCCTCTGAAAGCGAATTTTTTGCTATTGGACCCATTAAAACCCTAGGTTCCTCTCCCATTATCCACAGGTACTCTTCTTCCTCTTCTTCTCTTATTTCTGTTTTTTTATTTTTATTTTGGTTTCTCGAATTGTCGTTTTGAGTCTTGGAGTCTGCGTTTTTCTTTCAGATCCGTTTCTCTTTTCCTCGTTTTCTCCTTTCCCGTTTCAGTTTTCTTTCTTTTTCTCAGATTGCTCCACTTGAGTTCTGAAATTTTATGTGCTTTCGCGCATTTCAAATTTTATTTTGTTTTCCTTAATATTTGTTTGTTCACGTTAAATCACACAATGTACGGATATTCATTCGCTAGCGACATGTCGTTTTGGGTTTGATATTTGTTTCCTATTTTTGGCGAGTTTATTTGGAGTTCATATATTTAAATTTTATGCTTAAAAATGGAATTATGTTGATATTGAATGATTTGAAACAGAGAAAGTAGTAATGTGTTTTGAAGGGTTTATTATGTGTTTGTTGTTAATTGTCGATTGGGTATTTCTGTTTGCTTTACACTGCTATTGTTTGGTTCAGTTTTTGCTTCATTCTGTTTGGTTCATTAGCTGCATTGCTGCCAAAAATAGGAAAAGCATATTAAACTCGCAATGAGAGAATTTTGGATCACGCAATTGTAGTTTTTTAAGTTGCAAGAGAAGAAAAGCTAAACAAATGCTTTTATTTTTTATTCACATATGTGAACAATTCAGCTCCATTTAGAAAGTTGGTTAAGTTGATTTATTTGAAATTTGTTCTCTTTTTTTGCTGGGAAATGAAAGTGAAATATTCAATTTGATAGTAAAAATTTTTAATGTTTACGGAAATAATGGAAACTTGAAGATGGTTTTTGATGTTTTGAATTCATTGTTACAGGCAGGGCTGTGGAAATTATTGCGCCGCCTGTTGAAAAATGGATTTAGAGGATAAATTCCTTGCTAGAGGTATTCTCTTTTATCATTTTTTTAATCACTTTTGTATCTTGTTATTTGACTTTCTTAAATGCTTTGAGCACTGCTTGTTTAGTAATAATAGAAGCAGAGGTATTGATTACTTGTTAGGACATAGTTCAGTTCACTGAGATTATTGGACCATGGCTAAATGGCTTTCTTTTCCTTTTTAGTTACACTTGGGGCCACCTAATCCACCCACCTTCCCTTCAATAACCTAATCTCATAGGGATATTTGAAATCTATTTGAGTATTACATATAGATGGATTAACTACTTGAGAGAACATGTAGTAACCTAGTTATCAAAATATTTTAAAATGCTAATAAATCATATATGACAGATGAAACCACATCGCAAACCCCAAGTTATGTATCTTGTTGAGCATTATCTGTTGACCTGCAATCCTAAACGTCTTGTATCTTATAATTCTTGCTATTTTGTTTATTTTAATGTTAGTTTGAAAATATTGTTTATAGATTTTGTGAATCTGCAGTACCTAAACATCCTTCTCTAATCCCATGCTCACTGTTTGCTCAACATCATGGAGAGCTGTCAGAAAAAGCAATATTTTTGTAGTTTGGTTCCTAAATTTTCTTCAAATTTGAAGACTGAACAAATGTTTTAATAAATGGAAGATATTTCAAACTGATTGAGGTTGATGCATCTTCTAGCAGGCTGATCAATAGCAATTTTCTATTTGAATCATCTGCTAATTATATGTAGTCCGTCAATGGCTTCATGTAATTCTAACATTCTTTTCTTTTAATGATTAAATTTATTTTATTTTTTGACTACTAAATTTGACTAAAATTTAGTTAAGACAATTTGAATCAGACCTTCCACACTTTATCTGTTCTTTTGAGATTATCGAGCTCACCCTATGATTTTGTTCTAGCTTTTTCTTTCTTTGTCTCTTGTTTTCTTCTTTATGATTTTCCAAGCCACCCCATTGTCTGACTTGAATACTGATAGTTTGTTCCAATTACTATTTAAAAATTTAATTGAGTTCTATTAGTATTGGATATTACTTTATTGGATTTCTGGTAACTTAAACATTTGAATTTGGGAAATTTTTACAATCTGCTAGGTGATCGAGTTAGATTGGTGATTTGTCTTGCTTTGGTAGCCAATAGGAAACAGGACTATTCTGGGGCTTCTTTAACAGAGGGAAAAAAAAAAAAATGGAAAATCTCTCTCTCAATGTTATATTTACGTCTTGGTTCATTTTTCTGCTCTTTTCCCTTTATACCCAAACTTCTATTGTACATTATTCTTAATAACCGAAATGTGAATATTTCAGAATTTGATGTTTTGATTCTTCTGCTTGAACTTATGCTGGTGGTTCTACATTGTTATTTTCTTTCCCCCCAACAATAGGAAGCTGGGTGAACTGCAGTCGATTTATCGTTTGAATTGTTGCTCTATCCTATTGCTTCATTATTGAAGTTGATTTTTTGACAATGATTTTGGACATCGGGGCGAGAACAGTTCAATTGTCATGACTTTATCACAGGCCAGGCATATGCTTGGCAGATTGTAGCAAGTTTATTAAGTATTTACTTGAATGGTAAATTATATTTAGATGTTTGTTAAACAAAAAATCAAATACCCATGCATCTTCATTCTATCCACATTGATTTTAGTTTTTAGCCAGACAACATATTTTATTTTCCTCCTTTCCTTTCTATGTCATGTATTTTTTAAGAATTCATAACCAAGCAAGGGTGCAGCATTTTTTGACCTTTAAATTTTCTCAATTTGTCAGATCATCCCTTATTTTAGTTGGAAAAGATAACTTTAAGAGTGTATAATTTGATTGATGTTGGACTGCTTGAAGGGCTGGAGGTAAAAGGGAAAGTGGATTTAGCCAATACAAATAAAAATTTTGTTCTCAGAATGCTGGAACACTTATTTGATAATTGATCCGTCCAAAAATATTGTCCTGTTGACTTTTGCACAAAGTTTAAGAAACACATTAGTTATAGTATCACATCATAGAAAATACCCATACTTTTCCAAAATTGTCCTCTCAAAAAAAAGGTTATTCCTAGAATTTAAAATCATTTATAATGAGGGGTATAAAGGAAAAGTAAATATCTCGAGTCAAGAGGACAAACATTTTGGGACATCCAAAAATGGAAATATGGACAAACATTTTGGGATGGAGTACTTAGTAATAACGCTGGCCAACTTTGATCTTTACATTCTTGCACATATAAGTGATTTGTGCACTGTGTATCGTGAAGAATTCTTATTTTTGCTGTTGGTCTATTGTTCCAATCCAGTTTCTGGTGTTCAAAGCCTTTCTTCCAGTGTGCAAAGCACCCCGGAGAAAAATGGGAATTCAGATGATGCTTCAAGAAGTCCAGAACTTCTTCAGGAGTTTCTGAAATCTGGTCCTAAAAAGGAACTCCTTCGAACTTGCTTTGATAAGGACAAGAAGCACACAGCTTCATCAAAGAGCAAAACAGAATTTATGAAGATAGGCAACATAACAGTTAAGAAACAAGAAGCCAAAAAATCTTCTTCCAGTCCCAATAATCAGCCTTCCCTTAAGAAGCAACAAAGGAAGGGGGAAAACCCTACACGACTCACACCTACTTCCGAGCAATTATCGGACTTTGGATGTTCAAATTCGTGGATATGTAAAAATTCTGCTTGTAGAGCTGTTCTGTCCATTGATGACACATTTTGCAGGAGATGCTCTTGCTGTATTTGTCATTTATTTGATGACAATAAAGATCCTAGTCTCTGGTTGGTTTGCACTTCTGAAAATGGTCAGGGGGACTCCTGTGGACTTTCATGTCATATTGAGTGTGCTCTCCAATGTGGAAAGGTGGGTGTTGTTGATCTGGGGCAATTGATGCAGCTGGATGGTAGTTATTGCTGTGCTTCTTGTGGTAAAGTTTCAGGAATACTTGGGTACGTAAATGCAATGCATTTTTTTTTCATTTGTCTAACATTTTTTTAATCAGGTGTTTCATCATTTTTTGGTTCATGTGTTTTGGCACCTTAGAGTTTCCTCTGTACACTCAATTAACAAATAGCTTTCTACTGTTTCATTTTATGAACCGTTTCTTCTTTACCTTTGTATTGGAGAAACTAGAAAACCTCTACTTTATATTCGAGAAACTAGAAAGTGCTTGTCACTGTGTTTTTGCATGCAAGAAACATGTGTGTTACTGTAAACATTGGCATTTATGTCCTCAATCCCATAATGGCTTTTTTGCTGAAAGATAATAAAATGGAGGTCAGTTAATTAAATGGCCTGCAAAAAGAAGAGATTTCCTCTGGTTCTAATGGCATTAGAAGTGGGCTATTTTTATGCTTAAGAAGAAATTTTCTCTGGTTCTAACAGATGTTGGAAGAAGCAGCTAATAATTGCGAAGGATGCCCGTCGTATTGATGCGCTCTGTTATAGGATATACTTGAGCTACAGACTATTGGATGGTACTGCAAGGTTTAAAGAACTGCATGAAATTGTGAAAGATGCAAAAGCCAAACTAGAAACAGAGGTGGGTCCAGTGAATGGTGTTTCTGCCAGGATGGCTCGTGGCATTGTCAGCAGACTCTCTGTTGCTGGTGATGTGCAGAAACTTTGCTCTCTTGCAATTGACAAAGCAGATGAGTGGCTGGCTAGTATTTCAAATGGAAACTCAAACTGCAGAGGTTAGATTTCATAATAATTGTTCCCTATTTTCCAAATCCCGTAAAATGCAAGCATAAAGTTTTACTGAAATGAATAACAAAATTCACCTTTTCTGCAGAGGATTCACTTCCTGCTGCTTGCAGGTTCTTATTTGAAGAAGTGACGTCATCATCTGTCACAATCATTTTAATTGAATTGTCTACTGCATCTGATGATATTAAAGGCTACAAGCTCTGGTATTGCAAGAGTAGAGAAGAAATGCACACAAAAGATCCTATTTGTGTGTTTCCAAGAGCTCAGAGAAGGATTTTGATATCCAATTTGCAGCCCTGTACCGAGTATACTTTCCGGATTGTCTCATATACAGAGGCTGGTGACTGTGGTCACTCTGAGGCTAAGTGTTTTACCAAGAGTGTAGAGATAATTCACAAGAATCCTAATACTTCAGTGGCTGCAAATGGTAAAAAAGCAAATTCCCTCTTGGGAGGAGGTACTTCAGGATCAAAGAGAGAGTCTAAAACTACAATGGCAGTAAATTATTCTGGATTCAAAGTTCGAGAGCTAGGAAAGATCCTCCATCTGGCGTGGGCTCAAGAGCAAGGATGCTTTGAGGGTTTTTGCAGTGCTGATGCAGAAAAATGTTGTGGAGCTGGCAAAGTGACAAAGCCAGCAGAAGATCAATTGCCATCTGTTTCGCGTGGACTTGACTTAAATGTTGTTTCTGTGCCTGATTTGAATGAAGAGCTGACTCCTCCATTTGAGTCCTCCCGGGATGAAGATAATGGTTGTACCTTGGAACAGGCTGTTGAAGCAGATGATGATGCTGCTTCTCATGACATAAAGAAGAATGGCTTAGCCAGATCACATGGTAGTGGAGATTCGCAGACCTGGACTGGTGGGCCAAGTGGAGAAGTGCCAGCTGTTGATTCCCGAGCAGATTTGTGCAGGAAAAGGGCCCATTCTAATGAGGAGATGCTTGACTGTGACAGCACTTTAATAAACGGGTCACCATTCCGTGTATCCAATGGCTCAGGTTGCTTGGATGAAAACTTTGAGTACTGTGTAAAGATAATCCGATGGTTGGAATGTGAAGGTCACATTAACCAAGAATTCAGGTTGAAATTGTTGACATGGTTTAGTTTGAGATCAACAGAACAAGAACGCAGAGTAGTCAACACGTTCATCCAAACTTTGATTGATGATCCTAGTAGTTTGGCAGGACAGTTGGTCGACTCCTTTTCCGATATTATATCCAGCAAGAGACCACGAAATGGTTTCTGTAGCAAGCTGTGGCATTAAATTAGGGCAGGGTATCCTAAAACACAGGATTGCAATTTGCTTCAAGATTTTTTTCTCTCAGTGAAAAAATTACCTCTGATTGTTTTGCCGTTCTTTGTACAGGCATTTTTTACTTGATCACTTCAGGAAGTGATCCATTTATGTTAGGGACAGGTTTGTCCAGCTAAAAGATTGGTTGCTGATTGCAGAGACGGTTGCATTGTTATTGAGGCCAGTGCCTTTTGGATTTGAGGCTTCATGCTGTATAAGGTATTTGTATATGAGGCTTCTTCCTTATGAAGGCGTCAAAAAATTTCGTAAAAATGGTACTAATTACATCTGAAGCAGTAGACTCTAGTTATGAAGAACATCTAATACTTATATGTGGATACTGTTATTATTTTACCTTCTCTGATTCAAAGAAGGCACCTTAATTGATTGCTGAATTTAGTAGTTACATTATCTTCTCTCGGTATACATTTTAGGTTTTAACATGAGCATAAAATTATGAAAATGAGTGTCGTGTTTCCCCACCTTACCAAAGTCTGGAAAATTTTTGTACTTGGAACAGTTGACTGTTAATAACAACTCGAACACAAGTTTGAATATTATTTTTCTTTTTTTTAATTAATAATGCCTCGTTTATACTTATTTTCTAAAATGATATGGATATATTTTGTGAACAGTTGGCAGTTCCCATTTTTCAAGTTTAAGGTTTTAATCAAAACAACTACAAATGATGACATCCCTCGATTTCAAACGACCAAGTCACTACGTCTATTTATCTGATTTCAGAATGACCAAGTTGACTGCTTCGGCAAAGGACTCAAACCTCTCGGACGCCTATGTTTAACGGCTTATCTGTTACAGGGGATAAGAAATTCCTAAATTACAGTGAAAATAACGCTATCTCCTCTACTGTGATGGTTATTGGGTTGTCGGAGAGTGTAAGCGGTTCGAGAACGGGAAGATAGGTCTGCCGTCTATGTCGGACGGCTTATTATAAAAACTACTCCATTGGCTGTCGTCTATTCTACCCAGTTAAACGACGATATGTTTTTCAAAATTCTGCGATCCGCTCGACTCTGGAGATGTCGTCTGTACGTAAGGGGAAAAACCAAAAATACTAAAAAATGCGAGAGCTTCGATCGAACTTTCTTAGCCGCGAAACTGCTCCACATTTTTGCCAAGTCAGCAACTACCAGAGCCAGTCGTACTCAAAACGCTACCGTTTCCACTGAAACATCGATTTTTGAATTATTTTTCAATTTTTATCACATATCACTTGACACCAAAATATGAGGCTCTCAGTCATAGCTCCAACCTCTCTTCTCTCTCTCTCACTCAAACATGCAACTTATCTATGCACCTTCTTCTCTATATTTCTGCTCGCAAACCGTAAATTCTCAATCAAAAGAAGGTAATTATACAGTTAATACATATCAAAACTTACTTTTTTTTAATTCTCTTTTTAATCCAAATTTGTTTCCTCTTTTAGGACTACTTTTACCAGGCAAATGTCTTCAAGTATCACCTTTCGGTTACTCCGTACAACCTCTAAAACTCGAAAAGCCTCTCTGTTTATCACATAAACGGTCTGTTCTTAGCTCCCTCAAAACCAGAGCTTCCTCTGTTCAAGGTAACCGAATTTGAATTTTATGTGAAAAAAAAAAATTCAAATAATGATGGAATTTTCGGTAACTGTTTTCTAACTGATTTTGCATTATCGTTGGTTGTAGATGCTTCTGAAATATCAACTGGATCAGCTGAGAGCGATGTATTGAAAGCTTTGTCTCAGATTATTGATCCAGATTTTGGAACAGATATTGTCTCATGTGGTTTTGTTAAAGATTTATATATTGTTGAAGATCAAGGAGAGGTTCCTTTATTTCACAGCAATGGAATTTTTTCTTTCGTACATATATTTAGAGGATTAAAATAAATTAATGCTCTTACTGAAAGATATTTGAATTTTTGCATTTTAGGTTTCGTTTCGGTTGGAGCTTACAACACCAGCATGTCCAGTCAAGGACATGGTAAATATGACAATCAAGAACTCCCATTTTGTTTGCAAGGGTAGTATTTTGTTTTATATGATGAAAACTTTGTAGATAGCTAGTAAATAGCTCACAACTTAATAGCATGTTTGTCTTTTTCTCGTGGGCTGTGTTCGATTGTTTGAATCTAATTGTGATTAAGTAATCTTGAAAAGTTTTTATCAACAGTTTGAGCAGAGAGCCAATGAAGTGGTGGCTATGCTTCCTTGGGTCAAGAATGTGAAAGTAACAATGTCAGCACAACCAGCTAGACCTGTTTTTGCAGGGCAACTTCCTGCTGGGTTGCAGACGATTTCAAATATTGTGGCAGTTTCAAGTTGCAAGGTAGACTTCCTATGAACTTTGATTTTCTCATTTCGTATCTGCCATAGGATTTGATCATGTGCACTAGACAGTAGACATGTTTTGATGGTAGCATTCTAGGCTCTGGTTTTAGATGTCTCATAAAGTTAATCCTTTTTGAATGATTGGATTTTGATTGCATCATCTCTAGTATGGGGGAAATACTACTAGGAAATCATGATAAAAGTCATGCTTCTCCTTCAGCTTTTGATGGGAGAAGAACTGATCACACTTCCTTGCTAATGCTATTTCCACATTGTGGTATTTGCTTAAAATGTGAAGTAATTAAACCACAATCTATTTCTTCTAATTTTTCTCAGCACTTTTATTTGTGAAAAGTCGTGCAGGGAGGTGTGGGGAAATCTACAGTAGCGGTAAATCTTGCTTATACTTTGGCTGATATGGGTGCTAGAGTAGGCATTTTTGATGCAGATGTATACGGTCCAAGTTTACCAACGATGGTCTCCCCTGAAAACCGTTTGCTAGAAATGGTATTTATCTTTCTTTTTTGCAGCAATTTAGTCAAATTTCTGTAATTGTGACTGTATAAACTTCCTATAGAATCCGGAGAAGAGAACAATTATTCCAACTGAATACTTGGGAGTCAAGTTGGTATCTTTTGGATTCGCTGGACAAGGTCGTGCAATAATGCGAGGTCCAATGGTTTCTGGGGTTATCAACCAACTTCTGACTACTACTGAGTGGTAGGTTGTGCTTCTCAATATCTTTTAGGACTTACATAGCAAATAAAAAATAGAGAGGGTGTGTTTATTATTTATTGTTGTCTGTATTGGCTGGCTATTTGCTTCTTGATGATGCTAGATGGAATTCTAATTTTTCATACTATTTACTGATCTCAATGCAGGGGAGAGCTTGATTACCTTGTTATTGACATGCCACCTGGAACTGGAGATATACAGCTCACTTTATGCCAGGTTTGAGTTCTTGCATTTTTGGTCTCAACTATTTTTAATCCAGCAAACATGGTTAACTTAAGGTTTCTTATGAAGAATGGGCTTGCTGAATCAACAACTGGATGTTAGCACATTTTTGTTGCAGTACATCCACATGCTTATAACTTTCACAACATCAATATTTTCACATTTTGAGCTTGGTAAAATAAAATTCAGGTAGTCCCATTAACTGCTGCTGTTATTGTGACCACCCCGCAAAAGCTAGCATTTATCGATGTTGCCAAAGGAGTCCGCATGTTTTCCAAGCTTAAGGTGTGCATTTTTCACTTTACTGTTACTTTAGAATTTCTTTTCAAATGATTATTTGAAATCACATCCTTCCTAATTGGACCATATTATATATTTTTTTTATTTGGAAGAATTAATTAATAATGTTAATTATAATCATAACCATTCAAAATAATTTATTACTTATCTTTTATCACCATTACTTATTTGTGTATTCTGCTCAACTGTATAGGTTCCTTGTGTTGCGGTCGTTGAGAATATGTGTCACTTTGATGCTGATGGGAAACGCTATTACCCATTTGGTAGAGGTTCAGGTTCTCAGGCATGCACATTATCTGATGATCAAATTTCTTGCTTCATGGAAAATTAAGATTTTTCAATTCAAGCATTCTCTACACCATCTCATCTGTCTTTTTTTTTTTTTTTTTTTGTTTTTTTTTTTTTTTTTTTTTTTTTTTTGGTTGTATCTTTATTGAAAAGGAGTATGTTAATGCACTTGGATAACATGTTTGCAGGTTGTCCAGCAGTTTGGAATTCCTCATCTGTTTGATCTTCCGATTAGGCCAAATGTATGCGCTTCTAATATGCTAAGCTTGAATCTGCTTTGGATGCATTATATCACTGCTAGGCTCGAATCTGCTCTGGATGCATGCTTAAATTTCCTTTTTATTTGTTGGTAGATTGTGCTGCTCTATCATAAAAATTTCTAGTTTTTTCAATTGTTTATTGGATTTATAAGTTGCAAAGGTCCTATCTGATGCACATGCATGGCTCATGCACCTTTTTGGTTCTTTAATATTCATGTAGCTTTTATTTTTCCCGGGGAACCTGAATTAGTAATATTTGGCACTTTCACTCTTATGCATCTATTGCTATTCTTAATCCCTCCTTAAATTTGCCTTGTCTGAGCCAGCCATAAGATACCTGTATGAAAATAATGTAATTTCAGTTTGATATGCTGTACAATTATTACTCCTCTGCATGCTTCCCTTTTAAGTACCAAGCACTCGTTTATTTGTAAGCAATAAAAATTCTGAAATTTTGTCATATATGGTGAAATTCATTATCAAATTGAAGATTAATTTCATTAATTGTATAGCTATCTGCTTCTGGGGATAGCGGAATGCCTGAAGTGGTGGCTGATCCTCAAGGTGAAGTTTCCAAGATATTTCAGGACCTTGGAATTTGTGTTGTGCAACAATGTGCCAAGATTCGTCAGCAAGGTACTACCTCTGAATCTTGTCTTAGCAAGAAACTACTTGTCATAATGCACGTCATCATACTTCTGTTTTGCAATTTGCTTTGGATCTTTTAAATGGTCAAAAGGGAAGGCTATAGAGTATTGACTTTCAAGAGCTCATATCTTATTGCAAAAATAGAAATTTAAACTTCTGGAATTTCACTTGAAACCTGGACCGAATGATTGTTTTGTTATGTTTTTCCTTTACAGTGTCAACGGCTGTCATGTATGATAAATCAATTAAGGCAATAAAGGTCAAGGTGCCAGATTCAGATGAAGAGTTCCTTTTGCATCCAGCAACTGTTAGACGGAATGATCGCTCCGCCCAAAGTGTGGTATGTAGGAATTTAGTCTGGACAGAAGGCCCTTATTTACTTGACTGTGAGCTCGCTTTGATTACGTAGCCCAGTGACATAGTATTGACTAAAACGAGTCAATAGATTCTGAAATAAAGATATCATCTAGCACTTGACTGTGAGTTTGCGTCGATTACTTAGCCCAGTAACATCGTATTGGCTAAAACGAGTCAATAGGTTCTGAAATACAGATACCATCTAGCACTTGGGCAGAACTACAACTAAACAACTTTTTCTGCTTTGGTTAGGCCTTTACAGCTGGTCTAAATGAGGGTTATCACAAACATGGCATGAAGAACTTGGACCTTTTTGGTCTTGGTTTCTTTTATATTAACTTCAGTCCCAGTTTGCCACCCATCTGATTATAGGTTTGTGAAGGGCGTTCTTTATTCTGGCAAAGCCTGATTGAGGTCGATCTTCAGTGGTTTGAGCTTATGATTTACATTTACTTTATGCCCACCCAGCTCACCAAATAAATAACTTAGATTCTATATATTTTTTATTAATATCAGCCATGGATGGTGAAAAATGGAGGTTCAAATAGTTGGGCAGATCTTTGACTAAACTTCAAAAGTTCCAGCCCTGCTGTACTTTTGAACTAATTTGGTTACAGTTTATTAGTCTAGTTGTGAAGGTCAAAACGAAAAGGGATCTGTAACTTCTGATGCAAATTAGTTGAGAGAATTGACAGCCTATTTGACCAATGTTTATAAAGCAGACAAAAAGTTACTTTCTTGTTAGAAAATTAGCCTTGACAAATCCTCTTTTGTTATTAAAGTCCACTATGGCTTCTTTTTCATTTGTTTATTCAAAATAGGATGAATGGACTGGGGAGCAAAAGCTGCAGTACACTGATGTTCCAGAAGATATTGAACCTGAAGAAATTCAGCCAATGGGAAATTATGCCGTGCAAATAACATGGCCAGATGGCTTTAACCAGGTGACTTTTTGCAATTATTGGTAAACATGACCATTCCATGGAAAGCTACTGTTATTATCAATAATCTAGTACTGTTATATGAAGTGACACTTCCGTTTTGACCAAACTAATGCCTCTGTTAGAACAAAATGCAAAGCATGTTTATGGTAATATTAGGTTAGTTCTGTGAGGCAAATGCTGTATGCAAATGAGTGTTGTTATTGGCCTACTCTCATGGCCGAGTTGGGAACTCGACCCCTTTGCCTTGGCTAGTGATCTGTCTTGGATTTATGTTTCAATATATGCTTCTGCTGGGAGCCAAATCCATTTCCTACCTATATCAGAGACGTCTTGATATACATCTCCTACTTTTGAATACAACAAAAACGAGGACTAAATTTTAATCCCAAAGTAGTTGAGACATGAAATGCATCATAAATGTCAGAGTAGCATTCTTTAATGAAGTGTTAATGGAAACATTGGAGTTCCTTTTCTTTTTTCTTTTCTGAGAATAACATTGGAGAAAGATTAGTGACGTAGTGAGTGTACTGTGATATGAATCATAAATTTAGTGACTTGGTGAGTGTACGGTCACAAAGGTTATTATATCCATATCAACACTGTACAATCCACAGTGGTTGTGGTTAACTGGTGGTAACAGAACAATTTCAAACTGTTCAGGTGGTATATATTAGGCTTGAAAAAACTATAGTTCAGTGCGAATTTAAAATTTTTAATTTTTGTCAAAATTTTATCGGTTTTATCATTAATCTGCATACATGTGCGAGTGTATTGTATCCATGGCCTTGGAGTAGTAGAAAAGAATTCAATAAAATGCATTTTATTTGCAAAACATGCCCATCTAATCTTCTATTAATATCCTGTAACATCTAATTAATTCATGTGATATGGTACAGATTGCTCCTTATGATCAATTACAAACAATAGAACGATTAGTCGGTGTTCCTGAACCAACTCCTATGAGGGTAACGTATAATCTTCATCATTTTACTATTTTTATGCATATTGAATCTATTCATTGATGAACTGAGATTCTTAATTGTTTGTCCCTTTTTGCACAGGCATAAATTTATCAAGTGAAAATAGGGATACTACAAAATGAAGGATCTTTCTTAATAGAGTGACCTCAATCAGAAGAAGTAGATTGAAGCTTTGTGTAAGATCCTCAAGTGTGCTATTTGGCCATTTTGTCATCTCTTTCGTTTTGAGCCTGGGGCAACATATGTATAGCAGAAAACTATAATAGTGAAAATTCTAATAGATGCATGCCAATTTTGTTTCATTTTTCAGATCTTCTATCATTTTATTTTCACTTTAGGGTATCTGAATAATTCTTTATTAGATTTTATTCACATACTTCTACAAATCTAACTTGGGCAATTAGGTTAGCAATTCAATGGTTGTGAGGTTAAAAAGCTACTATAGTATTATTTCTGGAAAAACAGAGTTCATATTATAATATTTTAAGAGCTACAAAAAACATGAAGACAAAATAAATTAATTTACATGTTATTAGTTTTTATGTTTACATTTACTTTTGGACAATATGTGAATGCAAAATTTTTTTTGGATGTATTCTTAAAAATAATATTGAAGTGGATTTCTCAAAACAATATGTTTGATTTTCTTTTATTTTATTTTATTTTTTTGAAATATTACTTGAGTGATTTAAGCCATAAATTTTATTAGAATTATTCAATTGGCGTAACCCAACAGTATTCATGATTTTATAATTTTGTCCATTTCAGCATCAACAAGTGAATTGAAAAATAAAACTATATGAAATAACTCATTTAAGAAAACTACATAAAAAAAAGTTAGTGTGTTTCCTTCAAAAAAAAAAAAAAAAAAAAAAAAAAATAGTGTGTACATGATAAAAGTGGCAAAAGAATGAGTATAAGATCTAAACTAATCCGGGTTTTAAGGTAGATTGAAGTTTTCTTCTTAGCATCTATGGATTGTGGCTCAATTGACAGATTGAAAACATAGGTTGAGTATATGGGAGAAACTTTTGGATTTGGTCCCCACTAAACACACCTGCAGGGAGGGGTGAAGAGCCTTAATTGTGATTAAACCTTAAACTGGATACTGATGGTTAACAAAAAAAAAAAAGTTTTCTTCGTTGCATTAATTAAATATTTAAGTGATTTTTGTGGGACTCAATAATTAAAATATGAGTACTAATTTGTCTAGAATTAAAATTTTAATCCCAAAATAAAGTGCAGAGCAATGATTAATAATTTCCAATCAATAATTGAAAATCAACAAAATAATTGAATTACATTGATATGGTTTGGTTCAATATTCACCTATAACAAATTGTGCTTATACTCCCATTCCTACAAGTAACCCTCTTCTCAATTAATAGTCAACCTATGTGTTAGGTTCTTTTTTGGGAAAGAGTAATGAATTCGTTGGCTGACAGCTTGATTTGTGAATTAATTACGGGTATGTTAGGTATGTAAAATACACCAATTAAAAAAATAAAGTGCGTGCGATCTAACTTCTAGGATGTGGATTTGGTTCCACGGTAAATGTTTCACCAGTTGTGTGATTAAAATAAAATTGGCAGAGAAAATTGTAAACGAAAGCTTGATTGCTTGAAAAGCAAATTGAATTTGATTGCTTGTATTGAAAAAAGAGCTTATAATTACAGGAAATGTAAATAGATAGTCTTAGAAAAATAAAAATAAGGCTTTGAAGATAAAATTGCTTGATTCGTTGGAGAGTTTGATTTGATTTGTTGAATTCGTCGAAGAATTTGGTTGTATTAATTGGTTCCCTTGCTCCATTTCTAAGCTCCAGGCAGTTACCAACAGGATCCATTGACACACGTTTCCCTCATTGGCTCCTTACGTCCCTACCTTCTGTATATGTCAACGGCCGCTTGAAGAGTGCATCCATTTTTCCCAGTTGCAGCTCACGTATTCTATTATCCCTTTCTTTTTTTATTAATTGATTAATTAATAAAAACAATATCAATTGGGTCTCAATTAATTAAACATGCAAGCCCAAATTCAAAATACAAAACTCAAATCGAAAAACTCATAAAATAGATTCAACAATCGCGGTTCATATTAAGTTAGCCTGCTAAATCATGTTTAATATGTTAATCCATTTTAAAAATCCTAACCCATTTCTAATTAAAAGTTCAAAAATTAAAAATGCAATCACAAACAAATAAGCAAGAAACCCTAACATTTCATTCACCTTCTCTTTGCGTGGCCATCCTTCTAAGACCTGACGACTCGCCATTTTTGGCCTTTCATTTAGCCAATTCTTTGGCTTTGTTTCTCGAATGGCCATGTGTCAATGACGTTGATGACTGCTTCTTGCATTCAATTCACTTTCCATATATATACATATATATATATATATATTCATATCCTATATATTATATACAACACAATCTTGCACCGTTTTCTTTTTCATTCTGTTTTCGTTATTTTTTCTTTTAAAGGAAAATCATGGCACCTTTTTTGAGTCATCTGCTCGCATCATTTTCTTCCCTTTCGTTTTTTTTTTAATAATTATATATATAACTTAATTATAATATATTACAAACACATCTGCACGTTTGCACGTTTTCTTTTCCTTCTGTTTCGTTTTTTTTTTCTTTTAAAGGAAATTCATGGACATTTGGTCATCTGCATACGCATCAATTTTCTTCCCTTTTCGTTTTTTTTTTAATAATATATATAATAACTAATATATATATATACAAACACAATCTGCACGTTTTCTTTTCCTTCTGTTTCGTTTATTTTTTTTTCTTTTAAAGGAAATTTATGGACATTTGGTCACCTGCATACGCATCAATTTTCTTCCCTATATATATATATATATAAAAGGAAAGTGAGTCTTTTTTAGATGGCAGTAAATTTATAAAATGAAAATTAATAGGTTGATTCCCGTGTTTTGTCTCTAATGAACTTTTAAGAATTATAGCCATGGAACTAATAAAAAAATTTTCCATAGGCATCGGGTTTTTTTTTACACTAATTTCACTGGCAACCATTTTTCTAGATTTTAGCACCAGTGAAATATATTTTTTTCCCCTCTGATTAAGGAAAAACTAATTCCTTTGATGTGATTATAAATTTGGATTGCAAATTATGTACCTCTAATCTCTGCTAATAGGTTCCACTGCTTCATTTGCTAACTCCTTGGACGGTGCCCTTGCTAATGCACCAGCTTCTCAAGTAAGTTCCTCTGCTAAACTTTGAACCCTTTCTTTTTGTTAGGTTCTCTCAAGACCCTTTCTTTTTGTCAGGTTCTCTCAAAGGACATTTGTGACTGGTTCATCATCCTCTCTATCAGTTATTTCTAAATATATTTTCCGAATTGAGGTGACTCCCTTGGCTAATATGTCTTCTGCTCGACAGTCTTCTCTTCTCATTGTTTAAGATTCAAATATTCTAGTTATCTCTTCTCCACAAGTATGCTCTTTATCGCACCTATCTTGTGTCGCACCTTCTTCTTCTCAAGACAGGCTTGGATAGAAAGTCATGAGACACACTCCTCTATATTTGATAGCACCAGTAGACCTAACACCGGTTTAAAGATATGAACCTCTACTGACCTTTTTTTTTTTTTTTTTTTTCGTCTCCTCATAATAAACTCTAACTGGCTAGCCTTATCTTATTATATAGTTTTTTTTGTTGATTTGTTATATATATATTAAAGTTTTTGCTCTGCAAATTCTGCCTCAAACACCTATGTAAAGAACGACTAGTAGGCTGATTTCACTTTATTCATATGATCTTTCATAGGAAACTATCTATGCTCATACTGCCATATAATTGTTGATTGCTTGCTGACATTGACCTTTCTTAATTTGGGTCATCGGATCTACCCCCACTAACTATTGCTGATGTCCTTTCATTTTTGTCACCTTAGTAATAATTACTCCTTGACTGTAAACCAGCCCTTTTTTTTTTTTTTTTGAATTTGTATAAATATATTTAAAGCCGTGAATCGGCCTTTACACATTTATGAAAGAAACGACTAGTAGGCCTGTTTACTTTATTCATGATTGTCATGGAACTAGCTATGTCAACTGCCTATAATTGTTGCATTGCTTGCTACAGGTGACCTTTCTTAATGGGGTCATGGGATCAACCCCACTAACATTGCTGATGATCCTTCATTTTCCACCTAGTGAGATAGTACTCCTTGAGGTAACAGCTACTTGCATTTCTCTTGTGGAGCTCTCCTGTATTACTTGATAGCCAATAAGCATTTCCTTTAGGCCCTTATGACCATAAAAATGTATGATCTTCTGTTTCAGCTCAAGTTTCAACAGACTGCTAATATGCAAAAGTCTTGAATTTCTAGGGGTACTGAGGTTGACTTTCTCCAAAAGATCTTAGACTTTAGTAAAAACATCGTCCAGGTTAAGAAATGTTAATTCTTCCCCGAAGATCACTTCAGCACCATCAACCTCCAAGTACTCCTCTAAAGCTAACCTGTCAAATAGTTGATGCAAATAAATTATGGAGATAGTAGTTGCAGCTGTTGCCATCTCCTTATTAGTATATGACTTAATAGTCATAGAGCTCTGAGACATTAGTCTCCCACCTTGGCCTTTTATAAGGCACGATGGCTAATGATGGTGTTGAACCAGCTCCAGAGGTCTTTACAGTTGAAGAGCTAGGATCCTCTGAATCTTCGCTAATTAAATACTCTAGTTGTTTTGTGGGTCCAGCTCCCTTTGAAAATTTCTATTACCAATATTGCTGCGACTCTTTAGGTGTCTTTAAGGACTTCAAATGAACCTGCAACTTCTTCAATTCATCAATGATACTCCTTACATCTACATCAACAATGTTGATAGATGCCACATGTATGAAAAGATCCTCATCAATCAACATCTGCTCTTTGTCAGGGAACCTCAACACTCCTTTGTTAATGCAATCCTGTAGAGCATTCCTGAAACTCCAACAATTATTAGTATTATGGTTCCAAAAATTATGGTACTTATACTATTGCTTGCCCTTCATCTCTTCTTTTGTCAGCAACTTATGACTAGATGGAAAAGATATAAACTTTTCCTTCAGTAAGAAATTGAATGTCTCCTCTGTCTTAGAAACATCAAATGTGAATTGAGTCTCTGAACTGGATTTCTTCTTTTAAGGAATTATCTTTACTGGAGCTCCAAGGTTTGGACACACAAAGGAATCTAAATTAACCAAGTTAGCCACAATTATTTCCTGATGAAGCTCCTAATTGTAAGTTCCCGGTGAGCTTCTTTTCATTTGTGATTTTTCTTTTAGCAGCTCTTCATATTTTGTTATCTTAGCCACCAGCTCA